GCAAAGGTGCACCCTGGGTGCCCGGATTCCTCGGAAAATACCAGTGAGAGGCTTCGCAGACCCCCCAGCCCCTCCAGGCAGTTGCTTTCTGAGGTTCTGTCCTCACCCCCACGGGCACCCTTGGAGCTGAAGTCGTGCCATCCCCAAGCCTCACTTGGCACCAAGCGCCTCCTCTGCCTCAGGAGACCCCCACTGACGGCAGCTCCTGTGCTGCTCCTGCCCGGGCTGAGAGGGGATTACTTAATTAAGGATCCAGGATTGCCAGGTGAAAGCTTATCTATCCGGAGCGAACGTGCCCCGTTTCCTCGGCCTGCACACATGTGGTATCGTTTTTCCATTATTTGGAACATACAGAACTAAATTAATAACAGCTCCTACAAGGCCCTGGGGCTCTCCGTGGAAGAATTTTGATCTCCTTAGGAAAGGCTCACCATTTCTCATAGGAGAGATGCACTTGACTCCTGACCTCTTTTCAAAGGCACCTGTGTGAGCTTTTAAAATCCACTACCACCAATTATCCACTTTCAACCTGAAGTGTTTAAACCTCGGACCACATTAACTGAGCTTAGCACATAGCCATGTCATTGCAGACTTCCTGATGTGAGGAGATGCCTTGACACGGCTGAAAGAGAGTTTAGGGATGAGGCATGAGATTATCAGCTTCTCCTCCTGACAGCTTCAAACAAAGGAGCCTTTTAGCCACCTGGTTTGTGTCTCCCACACCTGCATTAAGATTGGGAGACAAACCTTTGTACTGCTGCCTTGATCCTATTATTTGCATGTACCTGTCCACAGTCACCCTGCATCACTTAATAGCCTTCAGAGAGACCAAAGGGAAGAAGATGCACATCTACTATTTCTCTTTCAGGTTTAATACCTTTTCTTTTCTTTTTTTTTTTTCTCCCTCTCTCTCCAAGGCTGCAAGACTTTTAGGACACTACAGCATTTATTTAAACTCTAAGGAGATTTATTTGGCATGGGGGGTGGAGGAGGGGAGACTGTGAGAAGGCAGAAGATGTGGATCAGGGATGAAAAGGGAGAGGAGGCCGTTTTAAGGGTTTCTGGCTGGGCTGCAGAGAGCAAAGCCCAGTGCCTGCTCCCAGCACCGGGCAGTTGTTTGGCTGTGGGACTCCTCTGCTCCCTGCTTAGGTTTAGAACACATTTATGTCCTTGTAACTGTGAAGAGACACCAGCAGCTCTCCTTGCTGCTGCCTCCAATTCCGGACAGAGAGGGGTTCTGGCACTCAAGATGCTTCACCTGCACCCCAGACACTGGCTCCCCTTCTCAGCCCCTGTGCCAGGATGCAACCTCCCCTAAAAATGTCTTGAATGTCCCAAGAAATCAGCTCCAAGGCCAGACTTAGCCTGGATACAGAGTACAGGATGTGCCCGCCTACATCTCCCTTCACCCTTTGTTGAAATTAGCTTTGTATTCTCTGTCCCAGAGCCGAAGGCATGTCTAGATTTTAAATTAGGTTCATATTCTCTTTTCCATGCTTGCAGAATTAGCCAGAAGGACAGAACATTATTAACATCCTGGATCCAGCCCTGGCTGACAAGGTGTCTTTGCAAGGGCAGATTTCAGCCATAGCCTGTGCATAGACATTGCTGCATTCCAGCCCCAGCCAGGTCCTTGACTCATCAATGTAACTGAGTAAAGTAGAAATATTAGGGTTGCATTCATATTCCAGGCCTGGTTTAAATCACTAGCGTTGTGGAAAGCTCTGGATAGGTCCAAAAAAATAAAAAAAAGGAGGGAAGAAAAGAGTTTTCTGGTTCTAGTTTTTCACATTTTCTTTTCCCCTCTGAAAAGTGAAACCCTCCAGCTGCCCAGCATTGCACAATGGCCCAAATGCTGAGAGTTCCAGCCCTAATCCCAGCCCTCTCTGCACGCCAGGCCCAGCATAGCTCGGCAATGTGCCCCATTGCCACCGTGCTTCCCAAGCCCTTCCCTCCCAGAAGCATCCACTGCTCCTGGGGTCACAGCAAGTGGCTCTTCCCCATCACCAGACCCCGCGTTTGACCCTTGAAACTTGTCCATCAGCTGCAAGAAACACAGGAGAACAAAGAAATTCAGCTGCTTTGGCCATCCCATGATTTGTGCTGCCACAGGAAGCAAAATGAATGCAAATCTCCAGATTTTGGTCATGTGTTGTATATGCTTTCCATTACGGTCAAAGGAGTGTTGCCAGTGTTCCACCAGCCTGCCAGGTGGGATGAAACCAAGCCCAAGTATCTTCCTGGGTTACCAGATTATGGATAAACTCCTTGTTCTCCTTGTCTCTGCAGAGGTGACACTGCCATGGGTGCTCTGATCCACTGCAGGATCCCTACAATCGTGGATGCAGGTGCCAGGAAAAGCCACTGAGATCCAGGTCTGCTTTTGCTGTTGTTGTTCTTGTTGTTGTTGTTATTAATCTTATTGTTATTACTGTGTCGGTGGACAAGCCTAAGATCTCTGTCAGCATTTCCTACACCAAAGCTTCACCAGGACTCTGGGTCTCTCTAGGAGGGATCAATGAGTACAAGAAGGCATCATGTATTATGGCCATGTGCCAGGTGATGAACTTGATGAATCAGCCAAAACCCACTCCAGTAAGGGATCTGATCCCCAGCAAATAGTGCTGCACCATGTGCCATCCCATAGAGAAGAGCAAAGGCCTGACCAAAAGTCAATAGCACCAGAGGGAAAGGATGGGCTGTGGTTAAAGATATGTGCTGAGACTTCCAAGAAGGATGGATTCAGTTCCTCTTTTTGGCTTGGTTTTCCTATGATCCTGACGTCAAATGAATCACTTCATCTTTTGCCACCTCCGTGCCCGTCTGTTAAAGCATGTTTATAGTATTTTTCTCTTCTCTCTTGCCTTTTGTCTTTTCTGTTCTGAATGTGAAGCCCTCAGAGCTCAAAGTTGTCTCTTGCTACACAGAGTCCATCAGTAAGGGGCTCTGACCTGAGTTCCTGCTGCTGAAACACAAATTTTATGTAGATTGTAACACAGCGCCTGCCATGCTTATGACACCAGTTGAGAAATACTCATTACTACCCATGGAAAATTTTTATTTGAATGAAAATGTCGAGCGGTTTGTTTGGAAAAGGAGAACACTGAGCACGGTTTCCATTTTTCCCAGAAAAAAAAAAATCTCTGAAGAAAGTTTACAAACCCCAGAAATTCTTGTGAAATCAAAAAAAAGCGTTCAACGACCAGCGTTGCAAAGTCAAACAAAAGACAATATCGTCTGTCCCACGGGTGGATTTCCTTCCTCCCCACAACTTTCTGGAAAGCCTTTTCTGTCGCCCAGCCTTGGTCAGGGCTCTCATTCCAGAGGAATCGCTTCTGCGCTTGTGTGTCAAGAAAAAATCTGTTTCCAATAGGCGGTAAAAGGTCTGCCCATCGTACTCCTGTTTCACAAAGAGCACTCCCAGCTCTCACTGGCTGTGTCTCACAGGGTGTTTTGCGTTTGTTCAACCATCTGCAGAGCCGTGCCGGGTCCGGAAGGCAAAGGAAGGCCCAACTCCAGCTTGTGGGAAGGCTCTGTCCTTCATTCGACGTGATGCTCTGCCCCTCTCCACCCAGCTGGCCATGGCTCTACTGCAGCTTCCCCTCTCCTTCCAGGAGCTGCCAGGGGGTAAAGATGGGCAAACAAAGTTGTTTTCACCTTGCTTTGCCTCCCCTCAGCTTGTTTGAGAAGCTTCCCACCAGAGCAACCAGCAGCTCCTTGGAAGGGGCTAAAGCTGCCCATGTACAGTTTTTTCTTCCTATATTTTAAACTGAAATTCCAAAGAAAACTACAGAGTGAAAGTTAATAACTTGGTACTTGTAGGTTGAGGGACCATCAGCTGATCTGTCTTAAATTTAGCTACAGGACAGGATTCCTCCTTTTTCCAGGCAGAGGAGGTGGGTTTTTGTGCAGAAAATAACACGTCCATAGGTTTTTCCCTCACAGACAGGGCTGTGGTCTTACCTGCAAACCAAGTTGCCCTCGAGGCAAGGAGCACACCAAGGAGATTTGTGCTGGAGATGGTCCTGTTGTCTCCAAGAGGTTGACCTTCAGAAGTGGTGGGGGAGATCCAGAGCACTGTCTCCTCCTGCTTCCTGCCCCCAGAGTGTGCTGCCCACACCTTGTCCTCACCACACCTCCAGGAGGTCTGTCCACTCCATTTCCAAGCATTCAGGAGCTTGTTAATCACCCAGTGTTGTAAAGTTCCTCAAGTGGAACTGAAGGCTGGGCAAGTAGCATCTATTTGTTCCATGTCTCCATCCTCGGGAAGCCAGGCCGTCACCAGAGGAGGTCAGGGCGGATTCCCAAAAATGTGACCCATCCCCTCAGCAATGTGAGTATAATTCAGAGCATGCCACGGGCTCACTGGCATCTCTGGAGTTTGCTGTCATGACTCCACAGAGTGCTGCACTCCCCCAGGAAGAGCAATCCAGAGAGGAGGAGCTCGGTGGTGCCTCCGCTGCCCTCGGACAGCGGGGGCTCGTGGTTGCGTAATGTTTACATGACCACAGAGCTCACCATGGCTACATGGACCTCGGGAGCAGCAGCTCCAGCCCGAGCTCAGAGGAGAACAGCCCTACTCCCCTGGAGCCAGAGGAGCCTGTGCTTGCCTGGACAAGTAGCTGAGTGCTGCCCGTGTGGGAGGGAGAGCCGGCAAAGCCCCACACACCCTCGTGTCGGTGTTCTCCATCTCAGAGCCACAGTTTCCAAAGAGACTCTTTGTACAACTGGGATTCCTGCAGTGTAGCCCCCAGATCCCTTGCTCCCATCTCAGCTGTATCTTGGGAAGGTGCTGGGGTGTGCGTGTTTTTGACAGCAGCACCAGCAGTGAGCAGAGGAGGAGGGACCAGGACCTGCTGATGGGCCCCCTGCAAAGGGGAGGTGCAAAGAAACAGTTTAATCACACAGGGTGAGAATCATTCATGGAATCACAGGATGGTTTGGGTTGGAATGGACCTTAAAGATCATCTTGTTCCAAGGGCAGGGACACCTTCCACCCTATCCAACCTGGTCTTGAACACTTCCAGGGATGGGGCAGCCACAGCTTCCCCAGGCAACCCGTGTCAGGGTGGGTTCATGGTGGGTTCTGTTTAAGGGACAACTCACAAGGTACTCGCTCGGCTCCAGAGTCCAGTTTGATCTTGGCACAGTCATGTCACTCCTCCATATTCCAGCAAAGCACAGATCCATTAATATACCTCCCCCATCTGCTCCCTGCTATCCTCCGAGTTCATCTCTTTGCAGTCAGTCTTGTCTGGCTTCTCTCACCAAGGCAGCACAACTGTGATCCAGGAATGCTCCAGGATGCATCCTACCATCCTGCTTACAGTCCACAGTGGACAATCTTCAAGACTGGTCTGATGGACTCCCAGCTGAGGATTTGAATGGAAAAGGAGGATAGATCCAGACTTTGCAAAGGATGAGCCAGTGCTGAAGCATTTGTAGTGCAGAGGACTGGAGAAAGCCTGGAGAGACTTGGTTCCTTGTAGGATGGAGACCTAAATATCAAGTTCTCAGGTCTGTTCTTGAATTTTCCATGCATTTCTTGATCCCATCCTTATTTCCTGCCACCATATTTCCAATATCACAATGTATTCTTCCCATTAGAAATGTGGATGCACATAATTGTGGTGGCACAAAGAATTAGCTTTCAGAAGATGTTGGACCTGTCCAGTAAATGTCGAGGGCAGATTTCCTGATTGCCCAAGCAGACCAAGCCCTTCATCCTGCCGTGTTTGGGCAGCTGCTGAGCTGACAGTGTGTGGTGGTGCCCACAAGCTTGGGCACTCCAGCCAGGAGAGGACAGAGCTGTATCCAAACTCCCCAGTCAGAGCATTGCTGCTGTTCCTGCAGACAAACTCCTGACTGATCCAATGGAGGTCATGGGATTGACTTCATGAAGAACAACTTCTGATGGCAAACACGGGGGTGGGATGTGTTGGCCAGTTGGAAGTTGCTTTCTTTGGTTTGTCGCTGATTTTTTTACAAAGTTTTTTTTAAAGCGTTTATTGCTGGTACCTTTTTGAGCTCCAAATTTGGATGGATGAATAAATGTCCTGGTAAACAAACCTCAGATCTTTGCCAAACCACATCTTCTGGGAAAAGAAGGGGGTCGGCCCCTGAGACAATTCCTGGGGAGCCTTATGGGGACAAGTTATAAATGCTGGCATTCAGTGGCCCTTTTTTCTAATTTCCCGAAACTCAAAAACTCACACCTTTCTCTTTGTCATGGGGCCTCTCTTTTGTCACGTTGGGGGAGGATTTTTCATCTGAAAGCTGACTGGACTTTTCAGGCTCTCCCAGTCCCACAGACCTGAAGGCACAATGGTCTTCCTGATGGATACAGGCATCCTCAACAAACCTCCCCTTCACTCCCAAGGTGACTCTTTCCATGCCTTCTCTCCCATGGCTCTCTAGTAGCAGGCATTCAACTACTCCCACAGGGAATACTCCCACATCCACCTATGGAGCCTTAGACCACCACAGCATCTTGTTTTTGCAAAGCTCTGCCAGACCTGGAGGGATCTTCCAACCTTTGTGAGCCACAGGCCACCAAAGGTGCCTTCTTCCATGAAAATCCATGGCATGGTTTGGAGAAAAAAAAAAAAAAAGTGGCACAGAGGATTTTGAAGTGTTTTCAATGATTGAAGTCCACACAGGTGAAGCTTTTCTGGGGGTAGGTGTCACAGATGGAGTTCAAAGAAGATGAAAGTCTTGCCTGAATGGCTTTTCCATGAGGCTGGGGGTTATCCAGGACAGCTGTTCCTGAGAAGTTTGCTGGCTGAGACAGCTTGAATCAACAAGATCTCCCTAGAAGAAGACTCCTTGGGATGACTCTGTTCAAAAACTGTGGGTTTTTGCACACTTTAAAGGCCCAAAGTAGGTAGATAGAGGCTCTCACGCCAGGGGTCACAGTCATGGAGATCCCTGAGTACCCAGCCACGATGGTTATTCTGGTTAGACTCTTTGCCTGGCATTTAGGGCAGGAAAACAAGGAGGGAAAACACATAAGAAAAAAAAAAAAGAAAAGCCAGGGGGACTATGCACCACCCACGTGGAGAGCTCCAGATGTTCCCACCACCAGCCCAGCAGCCACCAGTCTATTAGACACTCATTAACAAGTGTAGACACTGGCAGCAGCAAATTTGGGGGCCTGCAGTCTGCAAAACTGCCCCTCTTTTCCCTCCCCAGCCCTTTCTTTGAAGATCCCCCAGGCTCCTGCTGACACACATCTTGTGGAGATGCCTCTAAGTGAGAAGTTCCTCAGCACCACCCGGTGCAGCGAGGGTACAAGCCTCTGAGGATGGATGGTATCCAAATGTTTGGCAGAAATTCCAACTTTCCTTACTTTTAGGCGTATCTGTGGCTTTTTGATACTGTAAACAACTGACATAGGCATGGAAGAATAGTGTATCTGAAACAGTTTATACAAAAGAATTCCATCTGTCAGTCTGTTTACAGTTCACATGTGAAAAGGCAAAAATCTTTAAAAGGAAAGCCCCGAGGGGAAAAACATTTATATATATAAATGTGTATATATACCCCGTACATATATATATGGGATATGCTACAAATAATTGTTGAAGTGGAACAGTATCAGTGTAGACTTTCTTTTTCTCTTGAATAGCAGTGTTCTTTTTTTTTTCCCCTGGTGTAAATTAAATTTTCCCAGTTTGCTTTCTATCTTATTCAAAACAGCACAAAGAAAGCAGACTGGAATTAACAGGGTGGTTTGGACTTTTTTTTCTTTTTTTTTAACAAAACACTTTCCAGTTTTGAAGTTGTCCTAAAGCTTCTTGAAACTGTGCATCAGATCATGGTATTGCAGTAAAGAAGAAATACTGCTATTACACCCTTGAGAATAACCTTGAAACTCAGCTGCTGCGTTATCTAAAGGGGGATTTCAGAAATTGCTGTGAGAGCTTTAACTTCTGCTTGGACAGACACCAAGGAAAGCCAGAAATGATCCGGGTTTTGTGTCTTTTCCCAGGGGAAGAAAAAAATCCTGTATAATTATCCACCTCGCTCCTAAATGCCAAAAGTCAGAACCCTGGAGACAAGCACGGTATAGACCTGAGTTTGTAATGTTGTGCTGAGCTGAAATAAACCTGGATAATAGAGAAGCTCATACATAGGTGTCACACAGGTTACAGGCACAGGCATCCAGGGGTGTTTTTGGCCCTGCTGTTCCTCCCTTTGGCCCCAATCCTGTGGGTCCAAGCTGCGTGGATGAGCACTAAAACACTTGGGTGCTCAGTGGGGATGAGGGATTTGTCCTTGGCTGAGAGGATCCCTGTACTCAGTCATAGAATATCCTGAGTTGGAAGGGGCCCACAGGGATCACTGAAGTTCACAACTGCGGGTGGTAAAAACACGTTGAGGACCAGGGCTCTGGATACATCACTGGGGAGGATGGTTCAGAGGTCAGACATGGGGTTTCCACCTCTGGAGCATGAATTTTTACATGGACACGTGTGATGGTCCCCACAACATCACACTCAGTGGGAGCCCAAGAAAGTTGGGGAGGCTGCAAGGAGAGGGTCTTCTCACAGAGACACCACTGAGGGCAGGTTCAGCACCACCCCATGAGCACTGTGTTGATTCAAAAACCATCAAGACTGTGCAGGGGATTCCATAATCCTTGTGGGTCCCTTCCAACCTGGCATATCCTGTGATTCTGTGATCCTGTGAAGTGCCCCATCTTAGCCTCCCCTTGCCCTCCTGTTCCTGCTGGTTTGGCTGCTGCTGAAGGCACCAAGGACACTCAGACTGCAGCACATCTCAGGCCCTACTGTAATTAAATGACCAGGGCTGCATTTTGCTGTTTGTTTTTAGGAGCCCCACGGATGAAGCGAGATGGGTAACAACACAAATATTTACATGTGGCAACCGTTTGTTTTAATTGCATGGGATGAAATCAGGGTTTTTCTGTTGCCCCCGCAGCAAGGGGAGGAAGTGGGGGCTGTTTTTATGGGCATACCAGAGCCCAGCCAGCCTTGGGAGGTGAAGGAACAACGTTGCCCACCAGCTTGACCAAACATGTGCTCCTCATATTCGTCCACCATGAAACAGCTCTTTTTTATTGTGTCTTGGCAGAGCTGTGAGCCTGCACTCCTGGTACGATAACATCCCACTTCTGGGAAATTCCACAGGCCCAAATTCTGCTTGTATGTCTCACACAGAGCAGGAACAAGTGTGAAGCAGTTACACACCTGTGCCCACTCTTCTGCAGATGTTATGAGCTCTCAGAGACCCTCTTCCTGCTCCACACCACACAGTGCATAGCAGAGGGCAGTCCTAAAGAGCAGGAGAAACAATTAATGCATTGAGGTTTCTAATGGAAGGTTGTTGCCTGCATGTTGTGGCACTGTGGGACAGTTGGGGGCCAGTGTTGGATGTAATTTTTCCGAAGAGATTTGCCCAAACTGAAAATTCAGAGCAGAAGAAGGTCAGCTTTTTGGAATGTCATGTTTGCCAAATCACTTCCTATCTCCTTAACCAAGCTGCCTGTGATCAAACCTGTCCAGTTGCTAAAAGACAATGAAAAATTGAAGGAAAGATGTTGATTAACATTAAAAAAAAAGGGGGGGAAGGGGCAAAAAAAGCAACCAGAAACAAAACACTTTTTAAAAACTTCATAATGATCATGTTCCCACTGTTTGCCAGCCTTTGCCCCTTTACCCTGTTTCACATCCTATGAAGAGCTGTGTTGAAAAGATATCAGCAAATCTCCAAGAGCAGGGATATTTCGTAAAGGAAAAGGTATATTTCAGAAATACAGATATGTGTATTGTTCTCTTTCTGTTTTGGGAGATGCTGTCCCGGTCTCAGTCTCTGGGACCAGCATTGCCAAGATGGGAGCAGCCCAGGGTGGGAAGACGAATTTAAACTCCTAAACTGATGTTTTCTGGAGAGGTGAGAAAGTGGCTTTTGACAGAGATACCTTTCCTGGGTAGAGCTACTAAAGCAAGTTCAGCTTAATTTAGGGTGAGGAGAAACCTGGTCTTGGACTACACTGTGCTGCCAGATGTGGATCCCAAATGACCTCTCTGTGGAGAGGCAGCTGTGCTGCCATCCCCAAGGAGGATGGGCCTGTGCCACCACCATGTCTGAACATTTGCTGGGTCAAATGGGTGCCTTTGTGCACAAAAGATCCACCAGACTTTCCTGAGGCAACCTGGCTTCAGCTGAGACCGGCTGGGAGCCAGTCTTGCTGCTCGTTAGAGAGTGGCAGTTTGATTTGCCTTTTTAATTTATTTGGCGTTTGCAGGCTGAATTCCCTTTCTTCTCCCATCCAGCCCCTGCTTGAGGGTGTCTTCTGTGCAACTATCCCTATTTTTTCAATATGAGGTTGGGAGGTGGTGATTTATGGGTCATTTAGTTTTGCTTTTGTATTCCTGCTACCTTTTAAGTCCCCTCTATTTTGGCTGCCTTGCTTTTCTTGCTTTGGATATGCAGACTGGAAGGAGGTAGCGAGCTCCTGCCCTGGTCCATGGAGCTTGAGGTGACCAAGGGACAAGCTTACTAACAGCTTCTTCTGACACCAAAGTGAACCACCACAAACCTCTTCTCATCCGGGAGATCTTGAAGAAGCTTGTGAGGATGCCATCATGACTATTCCTGGATTATTTTGCCTTTTTTTTTTTTTTTTTTTAACCAGCATGTTTTCCATGTTTCACATGGTTGGTTTTCTTAGATATCAACTGCAGGTTGGTTTGATCTTCATGTCTCCACCAACCCTTGTGCCAGGCCAAATGTCTGATCCCACTCAAGTGGACATGGGGACACACAGCCCTAAATGCACAAGTGCCTGCTTAGCTGGCTTTGGACCCCAGAGTGTGAGGCACTGCTTGAGAATTAAAACTTCCCCTTGGGATGTCTTCAGCAGGTAGAAGGAATGATGTGTGTGGCCCGACATGAAAGGTCCTGCGTGGAAAATGCCTGGAAATGTAACACACTCAATGTTTGTGCAGTGCATCTCTCTGGCAGAGCTTTCCACACCAACAGGAGCTCCAGTCTGTCATGGACTTCATGGTACCTGTGTTTTGGGGAAAAAGGATCCAAGGAGGTGGTGTGGGGTATCAATTAGTATTGCAGGACAACGGAGAGGGATGCTCCACAGATGGTATGGATACCCAGTTGGAGGTCAAGGTCAGCCTGTGAAGTCTTTTGGGTGTTTCTGATGGCTGCCTGGGACTAACGGAGCTTTGAAACACGATTTGGCATGAAACAAAATAAATGGATGAAGGTGGGTGTTCCTCTAGCCAGAACCACTAGAATTCCCATTGAAATAGGGGATGAAACCCCCAGAGAAAAAGAAGGCACAGATCCCCTCATCTTGGCCACATGGGGATGCCTCACTGTTGGTGGCTCTCTGTCAGATAAAGCTGTGGAGCAGGACAAGCAAAGCAGATAAAGGAATGTTGTTTCTTTTCCTTGCAAATTAGAAACATATTATTTTACAGCATGGAGCAGCCTTGACCAAAGGCAGGTAGAAATGCAGGTAAATCCAACTTGCTTTTTTTTGCTAGCATCCTCTTATGGAATCATCCCACAAAGCTGTAGGTATTTAAATGGGACACAGGAGTCAGGGGTGAGGAATCCCTTATGAATCAACACTGACACCTCTGTCAGTGGGCAATTCAGGTCTGAAATAGTCATCTGTGCTAGGCTGGTTAGAAAATAAATAATTAATATAACCAGTCTGGCTGTGCTGACACATCCCCACCTTGCCATCAGTGAAGGCACAAGGCACCTGCCACGGAGACTTAACACCAGTGGTCCTCACAGTTTTCCAGCAGTGACACCATTTCCCTTCCAGGTTTCCCATTCTACTTCTGGTTTCAAGCCAGGTGACAGCAGTTTAAGGCCCATGAGTCACAGAATCAGTATCACAGAATATGCTGAGCTGGAAGGAAGGGACCCATGAGGATCATCGAGTCCAACTCCTGGCCCTGCACAGGACCATCCCCACGAGTCACACCATGTGCCTGAGAGGATCATCCAAACACTTCCTCAGCTCTGTCACAGTCGGTGCTGTGACCACTGCCCTCGGGAGCCTGTTCCAGCACCCAACCACCCTCTGGGGGAAGAGCCTTTTCCTGATATCCAACCTAAACCTCTGCTGATACAACTTCAGGCCATTCCCTTGGGTTCTGTCACTGGTCACCACAGAGCCAAGCTCAGTGCCTGCCCCTCCTCGTCCCCTCAGAAGGAAGTTGTAACTGCAGTGAGGTTTCCCCTCAGTCTCCTCTTCTCCAGCTGAACACACAAGTGCCCTCAGCTGCTCCTCACTCGGCTTCCCCTCAGGGCCCTTCCCCAACTGGGGCTGACCCTTGAGCAGTCCTTGGGCACAGGACAGGTTGTACAACGAGATGGCCCTACAAGGATGGAGGGCACGGAGGGTAAGGACAGGGTGGGAGCGCCAAGGACATGCAGCCCTCAGGCAGGAGGAGCTCAGAGCCTTCGAATTTCCCCGCACTCCTCCCTCCCTCTTCCTCGCCGTGGAGCAGCTTTGCAGCCCTGGCTTGGGCAGGCCGGACACACGCACGCCTTGGTGATCTCGACAAACACAGCCGGCCGGGGTTGCATTACATCAGCCCTGGGTGGGGTGGCCCGGCCGAAAGGGCCTCCAGGCAGCGCGGGATGGGAACCGCCAGTCAGGGCTCTGCACCCAGGGATCGCACACAGGCAGCCCGAACCCCCCCCCCCGCCCTCCCTCCTCCTTCTCTTTTAACCTCTTGTTTCTAAAGTGGTTTCTAAAATAAGCCCAAGTCTCAGCAGCTGCGAGAGGCGTTTGCTGTCGGAATTGGCCCCTGTGCAGACGGACTGGATACTGCAGGCGCTTGTTTTGCATTTTAAGCCTAAACATTCCCCCCACCCCCCCCCCCCCCCGGCTTTTTGCAGTTCAGCTCTTAGTTTTTAATAGTCCTTGTCATGATGGAAAGTGCCAGACTCCAGCTGTTCTTCCCAAACCTCTGGGAGAGGCCTGGTTACATCTAGTTCTCATAAATCTTGAATCCAGTTCTAGCAAGTCTTTAAGCCTGACCACTACGCTGCCTGGGCAGTCTGTGATTGAAAACAGGAGCAGATGAAGAAAAGAGGGAAGGGGGGAAATACAGAAAAGACTTCACACTTGTAGGCTGTTTCAGAAAAAGCCTCCAAGAGGCACAGCATGCATGTCACACTGAGATGAGAGTCAGAGTGCTCTCTACAGCCCCTGTGCCACCTTATAAACAACTTGTGGCATCAAAAAAAAGGATGGTAGAGACAGATGGCTCACAAAAACTCTGGATTCACCTGCTTGCACAAGAAAGGTCTGGGAAAATGTTCTTGTGTCAGGAACTTTGAGAACCTGCACACAAATGAGAAGCAGAGATCCTAAATCTCTCAAGGATCTTCAGCTGGGACAAACTGGTCTGGGCTCTGCATGTCTGATTTATGTCAGTTGTGGATTTGGCCTTCACGGTTGAAAAAGAGCAAAAGAGAAAAAGGAAAGAAAGGAAATGCAAAAATACACACTCATTCAGGAAATAATGTACCCATTAGTGCGAGCACATGTCTTCCCCAGTGTTTGGTGAGGACTGAGAGAGTGCTCAACCACACAGAGCATTAAGGTCTCTGAACTGGGTCATTCCTTGAGCTGTGAAACCCTGGGCTGCCCTGTGGGACACAGGCACTCACCGTGCCCAGTGGTGGGTTGGAGTCACCAGCACTGGTGGGGACCTGCTGCACAAAACAGTTCAAAGCCCATGGTGTTCTGCAAAGTGAACATCCACATGGCCACTAGCTACTCATGGAGTCAGGCTTTTGTGTACCTGGGTGGCCACAAAGGCTGGGAGAAATCCTAAACCTGAGCGTTTCAGTGGTGGGGGAAAAAGAAATGTTTTCATATGCAAGAGGAAATTGTGCCTTGGCCCAGAAATCACAGCTGGCCTGGACACGAGGTTCCAAGGTGTATCTTAGGGAGGAATCTTGCCTGAGGTGGTCAGAGGCTTGGGCTCGCATGGGAAATGATGGGTAGAACCCTTCCACATGCGTGTAACCTCTGGCCTTTCCAACTACAGCACCAGGAATACCAAGGCCATCCGGAGTGTCAAAGAACCTTTTGTCTTTTCATTCAGCTCTGCAGGTGAATGAAGTCTTCAGAAGTTTGGTCCTGCTTCCACAGGAGACTGGGAGCTCCCTCTCTCTCTCTTTCTGTAAAGATACAGTGCCAGAATGATTTTCTTGTAGGTTACCAAGGGCAAAAGGCTCCTTTTGAGTTTCAAGAAGGAGCTTGTTAAATTTGTGGATGGGATTATGTTTTAAATCACTACATGGTGCTCTGCGAAGCTATTCCAGACCTCTGCAGTCTTTGCTACAGACTTGTCAAGAGGCAAGTGATGATAAAGACCTTTCTGTGTCCTACCCTCCCCATGACTTGGAAGAGATTATATGGAGCCTTACATTTGTTAGTTAGGAATAAGATAGAAAATAGCCAATGGACACTCTAGCAGATAAAATGTCTAGGGCAGGACTACACTGGCTTTCACAGAGTGGGAAGGATTGAAACCTTGGCCAAAATCATTATCATCGTCATCATTCATGGAAACTTCTTCTGTTTGTGTCCACATGAGAAGCTTCACAAGAGAAGCCCACCCCCACCCCCCCAACCTTCTCTTAGCTACTAGACAGAGACCTCTTCCAGAAAATAACAGTGAGATTAGCCGGTAGCATTGAAACAGGCACATGTTTGGATCATGGAACCCAATAACTCGGGGCCAATGTGGAAGTCAAGTGCCACGTGATGGATGGATGGGCAACGGCTTTTTAAGGGTCCACATTTCAAGGGAGCATAAATGCTCATTCCTGCAAGTACAGCTTCACCTCATCTGACTCCAGAGACACCTTTTCCTTGCCTTCAGTGAGTCTTGGATGGGGCCTATCAGAAGCACAAGTTTCCACGGGTAAGCCATGCACTTAAGCAGCCGCATATTTAAATACTTAGATGAGCCTCCTTCCTGGATTTCCCAACATCTGTGCTTCCTCGCCTTGGAAGCCATCCCCCCTCTTGGATCTGGACACTTGGAGCGTGCGGAAACGAACAGGAGCAGCTAAGGACAAAATTTCTGCTGTGAAGCAGAGCTGTTTGTAGTGATGTGGGAGAGCACCTGCGGGTGCAAGAGCCGCAGCCAGATGTAATTCCGCTGTCGCTGCGTTAATTGGGGCATCCCTCCGTGGATCATGGGGAAAATGGCAGGAGGGATGTTGGAAGCCCACAGGATGAGATATAATGTCTTCTCCCTTTCTTCTTCTTGTCTGCAGCCTGTCCCAGGGCTGTCTTGCCACCAGGCCCCTTGTGAAAGAGCCAGACTGATGCCAACGTGGGCTGAGCAGCAAGGACAGCTTTGCTGCGTGACTCATTTATTACCACAGACACGTTTCCAGTGCTGTTATAGAGCTTATCTCCTCCTGTTATTTCCCAATATCAAATCACAGTAAGAAAACAGATTTCCCTTTGCTTAACACAGGTAGTATTACACCAGGGAGTGTTAATGGCTTAAGCAAAGATTTTTCCACCTACAGGCGAGTGACTGATAGTTTATCCATCTGCTGCATAAAGACCAATGCTTAAATCCCAGCTTTTAGTGGGTCATATCACCTGTGGTTTCAAAATAACTCTGAATTTTCCCCCAAAGTAAGGTGCAAAGTAATGAAAATTAGTACTTGGAAGTGAAATGGGTTTTTTTTCAGTTCAACAACAACCGGGAGCCCATCACTTTTTCAAGTTAAATTGTCTTGAGTGATTTTGTCGTAGGTCAGAGGGAGGTCAGACAAGTTAGGCTTGGTCTTTTTCCTGCGTTGTCGTCTCTCAGCAGGAGGAGGAAGTGCACCTCAGCAGGTGTCATAAACACCAATTTCCCAAAATTTCATAATCATTTAGATCTAATTACAAGACACACATGGTTTTTGACTTTCCCCAAGAAGACTTTGGGGAGTGTCCTCCACCAAACCAAATAAAAAGGAATTTGCAGTGATTTTGCTGCATTGGATGGGTTTGCATTTTTAATCCAGAAAATTCAGTTTACTTCCAGAAACTTATTTTAACAGGCTGTGTTACAGGCTCCAGGTCAAATCACTTACTGCAGCATCAGAGAGACAGGGAGGGAAATGACTTTTGCACTTTGATTCAGTGAGTCCATCAGGAAAAGAGACACTAATAAACTGAGTTTGGGACAGAGTGGATATTTGTGCTGCTGCCTCCATCTCTGCATCCTACTACAGAAATTCCCCTACTCAGTAGTAATTTGACCCAAAGCTAAACGGCTGAGAGTGACCACAGTGGTGCCAGATTTGTGTTCTCAGTTCCTTTTAAGAAGGTAAGGGATGTTGTGAGGCAAAGGAACCTGTTTGCTCTGGAGGTTGGCAAAACCAATGAGAGTGATGGTGGCATTTTTAACAACAGGTATCTCACAGGAGACTCCTCATGGCATTCCCTGAGCTGTTTATGGACTTCAGAGGTGACTAATATTAGGTCACTTAATTTAAGATCCCGTTTTAGATATTGACTGGCACTGTTTGTCTCTTTTCACTCCACTCTCCAGAGCTGCAGCCCTGGGCTGGTGTTGTCTCTCCCTTTGAAGGTGTTTGTCCTGATGAATCTCCTCCCTCTCTTTTTCAGCCCAAGGGACAATTCACTGCCTGTGACCCTCAGGGGGGTGCTGGTATCTGAAGCTTTTCTCACTAGTAAAGAGCAATCTGCTTTAATGGAGGGGCGCAGAACAGGGACACCCAAGGTGAGGTTAACCATGATTTACTTCATCTCTGGTGGCCCTTCAGAGGGAGCTAAGCCACCACAGAGAGGAAACATTGCTAATATGGATACTGCAGTTATCCTTATCTCAGCTTTCTGTCATTGCTGATCATTAAATTATGCCACAGCCTGTCACAGACAGTCCTTCTATACCCACAGTTCTATTAATAAAACTTCTGCAGCAGTAAATCCCCAGGCCTGACTGCAGACTGTCAGTACCTCCCCTGATTTATTCTCCATTTACCCACCATTTGCTTCATGGATGCAGTGGCCTCTTGTTTTACTCCCTTTGTGACCCCTCAGTGATAGCGGTGACAACCTCTGAGGGAAGGCACTGAGGCCCCCCATGGTTTGTGGCTGTGACTCTTTGCCAGGAGAAAAAAAAAAAAAAAATTAAAAAAAGTCCTCATTTGGAGATGCCCAAATGCAGGACACCCGAGAGAAAGGCAAAACGAGGGTCACAGGACCACTGGATGCTGCTGATGGGATGAGAGGACACAGCCTCGAGCTGTGCCAAGGGAGGTTCGGGTTGGACATCAGGAAGAATTTCTTCACAGAGAGGGTGGTCAGGCATTGGAATGTGCTGCCCAGGGAGGTGGTGGAGTCCCCATCCCTGGAGGTGTCCAAGGCACTCAGTGTTCTGGTCTGGTTGACAAAGCGTTGATGGGTCACAAAGGCTGGACTCGATGAACTTGGAGGTCTTTTCCAACTTTAATGATTCTATGAAGCTTTATAAAAATAAAATATTCTACGAAATCATAAAATATTCTATAATAAAATATTCTTTGAACCCTTATTCTATGAAACTATAAAGAGTCTATGAAACTTTAATGACTGCACAATTAAAGGGACAGGGGAAAACTAAAGAGAATTTACAGAAGGGAGAGTCTTGGCCAGGAGGGGACTCAACCCCAAAGCACCAACCGTGCATCCTGGGCTTCAGAAGAGGAACTGGGCAAGCAGAAGGCTGCTGACATGTAGTTTGGGATCCTGTTCATAGCAAAGCAGAATGGCCCCACTTTCTTCAGTTCACAACTGACTTGTCCTGTGGTGGGGGAAAGCTTAATAGCCTGTCTTGGCCTGGACAATACTTACACTCATTTTCTGGACTCCAGAGGGATTGTGGTTGGCCTGTATCAGCCCCAAACACACTTTGATTCATTTTATTTCCTGGATTCCTGAAGGGATCCTTTTTTGGCCTGTTTTGGCCCCAAGCCCTGTTTGATTCACTTATTCCCTAGACTCCCAGGGGAGTGTGGTTGGCCTGCTTTGGCCCTGTCTTGCTGTCACTTTTCCACGCTGGTATGCAATGCATCTGCACGCTTTAGATTTCTTCACTGCTTGTGCTTTCACTGTGGGCCAAGTCTGGATGTATTTTGCAATATTTCGGGAAAGATAAATACACTTGGTCTGTGTTCATGCATTCACCTTGCTACGACTTTTCTGCAGCCTTTCCCTGCCTTGTCTTTCCCCACATGGTTGCCTGGCAAGGACCACTATGGCCACAGCATGGTCAGCCTGGAGAAGGGGTGTTCCCTGTGGGATTTGCAGCAGGGAGCACCCCAAGAGAGGAAGGGAAGGACCCAAAGAGGGGGGAAGGTGGGGAACAGCTGCCACCTACGTGGCTACTGTCCCCACCAAGGTGATTTCATGGTTGTGCACCTTGCCAATGAACCTGCCAAACTGCCTTCCCACCACGAGAGCAGGAAAAAACAGCTGTGAGGAGAAGTCCCTGGTTGTGCCAGTCCTGGGAGCAGGGCTGCCTGATGCACTGGGCAACCCAAGGTCTGTCACCATCTCATGGGTGACCTGGCATTTCACAGCCATCCCTCCACAGTCATGAACTAGGGAGCTACCACAACTGATGGCCCCTGCTCAGCACACAGAGAGCAAGAGCATAAAGCACAACCCACCACTCCTACTCTGGCTCCACTGATGTTCTGTCCTACTTTATACAGAACATCTGTGTTACTTTATAGGAGTGACCATGGACAGGTCCCTGCCCGATCTCTGTTGTGATGGAACAGCACACAAAATTCCCCTCCACAAAATCACAACCCTGATGTACTGGCAGGAAGCTGGTATGCAGATGGCCTCCTCTTCTTGGAGAAGCTGTGCAAGGAAAAAGTCCTCAGTGCTGTCTTTAATAAAAAAGAGGATTGTCTGATGATGCCATTTTCCTCTGCCACAACGAGCTCAGTGGGGACTTCCCGGTCCCAAACCAGTCTGTCACTGGGAATAGGGGCAGAACAAGCTGAAGAGGTGATGGTTATGGCTATCCTTCTACCTCCTACCCCTCCTACCTCTTCTTGGACACCTCTCCAGCCAGCTCTCAGTCCGTATCTGCTCACTCTGAACCTCAGCTTGTACCAGTTTCCCTCATTCTGGCAGAGCACACAGGAGCTGCCAGCAGACAGGACTGTGAGCACTGGGAGAAAAACCAGCTGGAAGTCTGGCTTCCCAGCCAGAAGTCCAGCTCTCCTTTGGAGACCCTGTGATGGTGTCCAGCGCTGACAACTATAACTCTGTAATAACCCTTTGCTCTTTGCTCCTGAAATTTCAAAGGAACTTGTCAGAATACAGATAGGTTTGCCCCCCATTAAGTTCCCAAAGTGTAAAGCTGCCTGGGGTATAGTCCCAGGCCAAAGCTGTGCCCTCCAGAGCACACTTGAAAATAAAGTCTCACTTTCAGTAACAAGCGTATTGCACCAGAACTGCAACAACATGCCTACTTTATTTCTTTTATAATTTACAAATATCACCGCAGAACAAACTCATTCCATACCCCACCAGAACAGCACTGCTTTCCATATAGACTGTTTGGAGATAAATGTTTCAGCACTGAATTTATTGTTTACAGAACTTACTCATTTACTGCACAACTCCTTTTTATCAAGATCTCATTTCAGAGCCTAAGCAAGAAAGAAATCCAATAAATTCAAGAGCCTGTTAATGCTGTGAGGAGAAGGCAGCTCTTTATTGAGTGAGCAAGTTTCATTGTCCAATTGTCCCAGGAAATTTAAAGCAGAATGTGTTTTTGACAGCTTCGTTAATGGGACGTGTTTTTTTTTTCCCTTGCCAGAAATTCAGGCATAATTGAGACATAGTGTTGAACTTCAAATGTTTCCCTGAGTCTTGAATAGAGGACTTGATGAAGCATGTAATATGGCATAACCTCCCAATTATTCACACGCTTAGATAACTATAATCACACAACTCCTATCACAGCCAGGAGGTTATTCTAGGCAGATAATGGCAGGGGCTAATGGACAGCATATTGCAAGGGCAAGGAGGGTTTGGAAGGAAATATTAATCAGAATTTGGTAGCAAAGTCATCAATCACAGCTTAACAAAGCTGTCACTCACTGCTGCAGCCCCAGGACCTCTATCAACTCAGAGTTCAGCTCAGCAGCCTCCAAGAAGAGAACTCAGCAAGGAAGAATTGCATTGCTTCAGTGTGACTGTCCCCAGGACACCCGGCCCTTCGCAGCGTGGCTTCTCCAGCAAGAGAATTCATCATAATAATTGGGGCGTGTACTTTTCAGTCAAATAACATCGCTATTTATTATCACTATTTGATGTTTTCTTGCTCTGGGCTTGGGAAATGCAACTGTACTCTGCTATTGGAAGTGGTTCTGGCCGGGAGATTTCCTAACTGCTTGCTGAGACACCCATAGCAAATTGTGACATGTGAGAAATGTACACCAGGAGCACAGCGAGCAGATGAGAGGCCGTGATTATTCCCATTTCCCAGGGGCTCATTAGATCTTGTCTGGGATGCAGTGTCTAGACTTGGGTTCCCCAGTACAAAGGAAATGCTGATAAACTGGGCTGAGTTTAGCAGTTGGCCACCAAGATGGACCAGAACATGCCCTATAAGGAGATGCAGAGGGATCAGACCTTGTTCAGCCTGGGAAGTGAAAGTTCATAAGGGGACTTAGTACCAGCCAGGAATTTGGAGAGTGAAAAACTGGAGGTTTTCTAGATGTGACTGGAAAAGCCCTGAGCAAACTGATCTGACTTCAATGCCGACCCTGTTCAAGCCACAGACCTGCTGAGACCCTCCCAGGCTGAAGTTCTGTAGTTCCATGTCTGAAGGAAAAATATATAAAAGGCTGCTGCAAAGGGAGAAGAAATGCTGCGTTCTCCCTGCTTTCAGGGGATGGAACATGAGCCAAGTGTTCAAATAGCAGCAAGGAAGTCTGGGATCAGGACACTCAACACCCTTGCCCAAGAGCTGGCTGGGAAGTCGCACCGTGTCCCGTGTTCAAAGCCTCCAGAGCATCTGGGGGGGCTGTTGCCTTTGCCCAGGTGCCTTTCTCAGTTTCTTCAGACAATCCTCTCATCCTAGATGAAAGCCAGCCAGCACTAGTCCTGGACAAGGGCAATTCTCCTGAGAGAGGATGTTTTACCCTTTGCTGCAAACATTTTGTGCAGAGTCCAACCTTCTTTCCAAACGAGGCTTTCTAATCACCTGCTCTTCTGCTTTTAGACCCTAAAGTCTAAAGTGTTACCTAAATCCACTCTCCATTTTGTCACATGTGCCATGTTTTGTGCCCACCATCCTCTCAATTTCAGTTCTGAGGGGGTACCTCTCTCCAGCCTCTCCCCCAGGGCACAGCTGCAAAGCAGTGCAGGAGTGGGGCTTTTCTTTCATCCTCCAGAGCTGGCTTGAATCTGCACTCTGTGCACTGAAGGGCAGGAGGTGAGAGGTCTTTGAGTGCCTAAGGAATGAGAGAGCCACTGTAAATGAGTTCCTGAAGACTCAAACTTTCTGTGCCCTCCTTGTATCGTCCTGTGTTGACTAAGGCACTGCTTTTTGACAGCTCTGGAGCACATGGAAACCTTGATCCACCCAACACATTATGTTGAAAAACTTCATGCTTTGGGTGCATAAAGTTTTCCACATAAACAGGTGGGAGTCTGGCATGACCAACATGATTCAAGGCCAGTGCGTGGTGTTTTTTAACTGCGTGGAAAACTTTGGGTGCTGGCTGTCTTGTGAGGGGTCAAGTGAGTCATTGTTTTCATTGGCTTTCTCCTGGCCAGGGTGTCCCTAAGAGGTTTGTATGAGGTCCCCCTCGTTCCTCTGGCAGACCTGCAAGACACCAAAACTCCCTCCTGATGCTGCTGTGCAAAGATGATGAGGGACAATTCCAGGGGAGGGGGTGACTCCAAGCAGTGACAGTCGTCTCTCTGTGCACTCACAGGAGCAGAAAATTTGACATCGTGGTTGGTTTGCTCTGTCACCAAATTGCCAAGATATGGTGTCACCCTCCTCAGTGGTATGCAGGGAAAACCATGAGGGTGGTGGGTCTGTGTCTGCCCTGGCTGGGGCTGAAGGGTGGCTTTGCAGAAGTGAGACATCATTGCTGGCACACGGTGTGAAGCAAAAAAACCCCATGGGGATTAGTCATATCCCACCCCAACCATGTGTCTGGTGTACTTCAGGGTGTCCTCTCCCAAAAGGAAGTAAAATAAAAATCTCCTGAGAGGAGACTTCGTATGTGCCATTTGCTTACAGGATGGACTGGTGACTTCAGGGTTTTCTCCAGTTGCTCCCTTCATTTTGCTTGTACCTGTCAGCCTGTGATGGTGGGAAAGCTGCCTGAGGAAATCTGGAGACAGGGAGCCTGCAGTTGATGACATTGCCACGAGGAAGAACCTTTTTTTGGCCGAGGTTTTGTGTTTAAATAGAAGACGAACATCACATAATGAGGCCAAATCAGCTCCAGAAAAGGTGGGGACGCTCGAAGGCGCTCCAGAGAGGAGCAATGTGGATATGGAACACATCACCCACAGGGAAAGGTGGAAAGGCTTTGGGTCATTTGCAAGCCCAGGTGTCTGAATCTCTCTCTGGGGCTGCAGTGAGTGGTTTGAACACAGCCCAAAGCCTGCACTGTGCTGTGGTTGGACGGATGCTGGCAGGATGCCGGCTGGACGTGGAGCCGTCCTGGAGCCAAGAGACACTCAGTGTGCCCAGAGAAGGATGCAGTGAAGGCTTCCCAGCCTGAGGCTTGCCAGTTTGTGTGGCCAGCAGCATCCAAGGGAGGGACCTGGTCATGATCCCATTCAGTTTCCTTGAACCTCCCCGGGCCAAAGGGCCAGATACCGCCGGCATCCAGGTCAGGCAGGGACAGCTTTTACCAGGAGCCAAAGCTCCTCCTTACACCTTCTTGAGTGGAAATGAGACTGTTCTCCCACCACACCCATGAGGGGAAGGGAGGGGACAGGGTGGGGAATCGTTACTTTAGTCATTAGCTGATGGGGAATTTACCAAGGAAGACTGACCTCAAAATCCCACGACTTTCTCCTTGTAGAAGTAGCCAGTGTGAGGAAAATGTCACGTACTCCTGGACTGTGACAGAGAGGAGAAATCCCTCTGCTTTGGTGATTCTGCCAGGATGTGGCAGAATCTGTGTGAGAACACAGGCTGTGTTCTCACTTCACTACACTTCTGAACTCCGTGGACTTCTTTGAGTTTTTCCCATCATCTACAGGCCATGGCTGCAGCCTCTCTATGGCTAATGGACCAAAATCATCTCCCTTGTGGAAAGACCCCAAACCTGGGCAGGAGGCTGCATCACAACCTCAGCGATGCAGAAGGAGACTGCTTGCAAACACATTTTGGGGATGATCCCCTCCATTTCCACAATAAGCATTAAACCCTTTTACCATATATTTATCCTTGCAAATGGTATTCACATGTACTTCTTCTTAGAACTTACTTTGGGCCTGAAGAATTTCCCATCCCAAGCTTTTTTTGTTCTGTGCTTTACAGGTGGTGGCTCTGGAAAGCCCTTTTGCTGACGTGGTGGCAGACTGAGATCACGTCCCACCCAACCTGCAGCACGAGCCACCAATGCCCAACGCTCCTTCTGTTTGTTGACATATCCCACAGAAGTCATATGAGTGGTTCCCACACTGTTGTTGTTCCAGGGCTCATGATGGAGTATAACATTGCGTGAAACCTGGGCTGTTTAATTAAACAGAAAGGGTCCAATCAGGGTCACAACCTGACGTCGTGTTTCCCACCCTCTTGACGGAGCAGTGGGGAGACCAGCGGCTTGTATTTGGGATGCTTTCATATCCAACGCAGTAGGCAGAGAGGGAAAGCTGATTTGGGGGGCATTATTTAGGAAGAACCTAGTCAAGCCATTCTTCTTACATCAGGCCCATGTTGGGAAAATTACTCCTGGTAGTATAAGTTGCAGATCAAGGCACTTAGATGGAGAAAGTGAGTGTGAAAAGCTATTAAAACCCTTTCAAAAGCTGTCATAAAAAGCCCTTGGCCAACTCTCTAGCCAACACAGACTGATCTGGGATCTTGGAGATCATGTATACAAGCTGATTTACCCCAAAGGAGTGTCTGCTTCATCTCCTGGCCCCAGCATTAAATGATGACTTTCCTTTTCCAGAGCACCCTCATAGGAAGCCTCGAGCCACACAAGACACATAAAAAAGGGGGCCAAGCATAGAATCATAGAATCATTTAGGTTGGAAAAGATCTTTAAGGTCATTGAATCCAACACTTAACCCAGTACTTCCGAGCCCACCACTAAACCATGTCACTAACCACACCTTGCATGGCAAACTTGATCCCAAAGCAGAACATGTGCCCTTGGAATCAGGTGGGGAAATTCACCGGGCTGGTTCTCCCACTGCAGGACAGGGCTCTGTGACCCAGTGACAGAGAGGGTCCAGCTCCTCCTTGGGTGACCCTACCACTGCATCCAACCCACACCTGTGCCCTGACACACTCCAGGTACAACGAAGACCTCCCAAGAGACACCACAACAGGAGGCAGAGAAAAAATCCTTCCCTGTGAGGGTGGTGAGGCCCTGGCACAGGTTGCCCAGAGGAGCTGTGGCTGCCCCATCCCTGGAAGTGTTCAAGGCCAGGTTGGACAGGGCTTGGAGCAACCTGGGCTAGTGGAAGGTGTCCCTGCCCATGGCAGGAGGGTGGAACTGGATGAGCTTTAAGGTCCCTTCCTACCCAAACCACTCTGGGATTCTGGGATTCTGTGTCCAAGAGAAGGAAATGTTCATCAGCAGGTGGACAAGGGCTGGTGGACCTCAAGAGCTCCTTTCTGGGGCTCTGCCCTGGGTGTGCTTGAGCTTGACTCTGGTCTGTGTCTCCCTCACCCCTTGCCCTGCCGTGGCTGTTTTTGGAGCAGCCTTTCTCTCGCTGAGTGTTTGTACAGTGACTTGCATAACTGGATGATGATGATTTTAGCTCAGGGCTTTCGGTCCCATGATAAAGCCCATAGTAATCGAATGCAGCAAACACTGTGACAGAAACCAAACAGGAGCGTGAAAAAGAGAGCTGCCCCTTCAAGGAAAGGAAGGAAAAGCCTCACGATTTTCTTGTCATAATGAAGTTTGTCCTGAATTCACTGTACCACAGAGGAAAGGCAGGGAAGGGTGACCTGTTAGCAGAGGTTGTGTTACAGGCTCACGTAACGGGAGGGGGGAACGCGCTGCTTTGTGTGTGTCTGGGTTTAACAACCGAATAAAGCAAAGATTTCTTTAAAGATACCAAGCCCAAGTCCACCACAGCTGGGAAGCACACATGAGCAATAGCTTTCACATGCTAACAAATAAAAGATCCTTGCAAAACAGATGCTGAGGTTTGTGGGGCTGGCACGGGCTCGCTGCTGGCAGGGAGTTAACTCACAGAAAGCTGAAAGGTTCAGGGATGGAAGAGTATCCAGAGACTGTTTGTTCATAAACACAGCTGAGGGCCAGCAACCTGCTTTATACCCTGCCCGAGCTGCACTGCTGGAGTCATTCCTTGCAGGGTTTCTGCAAGAGAGAAGGCAGATATGCAATTCTTCTGCAGCCCACGCTCTAGAGAAATAATTAAACAGTTTTTCTTAACCTCTTGAACTTTTCATTTATTATTGCCATCCATTATGTCTACCTTCTCAAATAGCAGGATCCTGAAAGCCAGCTCCAGGGGTCAAGGGTTTATTGTTTAATGGAGATAGAACATTCTGTAAATTGCACAAAGTCACAATGTTTAGAAGAGAAGCTTCTGGTGTACTGAATCTTTTCAATTTAACAAACAG